AGGGCAGGGTAGGGGGAGCCGCCGCTCCGGGCCCGGCGGGCTGCCACACGACATCACCGTCAACAAACACCGCTCCTCTGCACCCCCGGCTGAGAGCGGCCTGAGAGCGTCGCGACCAACCCACGACCGAGCACCACCCTGGGAACAGGACCGCGCACTGCCACCTCCTCACACACCCCCAGCGACGGTGATCCCAGCACCGCCCTGGGCCGCCCATGCCAACGCTCAGTCGGCGTTTCTGGGAAGAATTGTTTCTGCTGTCCCTACCTAAACGTGCTTCGCAGAGCCTAAGTTTCCGTCCTCTACCTCCTCCTCTCCTGTCGCTGCTTGTCTGGGAGAAGAGGCCGAAACAGCCCGAGCTCCAGGCTCCTTTGAGTGGTTGTAGGGAGCGGTAAGGTCTCTGAGGACGCCTGAAGACGTATTACTGCCATCCTTCAAATAAATAAGTAAACCCCCAAATAAAGCTAAGCTAAACGCATGTCACCAGCGCAGAGCTGTAGAGTATCAGTTTAAATAAACCCCCCATTTACCCATACGCACTATAGAGAGGCAAAGTTGTAAAATGTACAAGAGTGCTGGAACACACAAGCTAGAGCCTGCAGCAAAGTCAGAGAAGCTGGCCACAGCTAATAAACATTGAGCAGAGTCAGAGGGCTATACTTAGAAGTATATCAGGTAAAATCCCAGTATTAAGTAGATGTTTATCATTTCGCCAAGTTTTTTAGAAATACTTTAAGTACAAAAACCAAAAGAAGTTGGCATATTGCTCTCGGAAAACATTGATCAATCACTTAAAAACTACACAGAACAAACCAGCATCCACCTGGCTGAGCCTGCTTTCTGCACACTGGAATATCCAATAACTTTCAAAGACCTTCAGTGTACTTTCCAGCAATTTGCATCTACAGTCTGCACATTCAAGAGAGCTTCATGAGAGCAAGAACCAAGTTATGCGAGTTACTGTCTTTTAAACAAACCAAAGTGAAGACAAGACATTTATTTTAACAAGACTAGGATTTAATTTTTAAAATTTGACACTTAATACAAATATGTCAGGATAACACAAATACATCTGAAATATGCCAGTGCCTGAACTTTATTTACCATGCAAAAAAATCAATTAGAACACATAAAAAATTCAACTATAACCTGTAATTTTACATTTATACATCAGAAGTGTCCATTTTAAGAAGTTGAAATAATTAGTCAATAACATCTAAGTACTGATTTATACTGCTAAAACATTGTATACTCAAAGAAATAATTCTATATTTGTCCACAGTCTGTAATGACAATTCTTCCATTTACTAGCCCTTTAGGAGAACCAAAGGATTCGATCTTTTTCACCACATCCATTCCATCTTTCACAAACCCAAATACCACATGCTTGAAGTCCAAGTGTTCTGCTTTTTTAAGTGTTATGAAGAACTGAGAATTATTTGTATCCCTGCCCTTATTTGCCATTGACAATAGTCCAGGACCAGTGTGTTTCACTATGAAATTCTCATCTTCAAATGCTGTTCCATAAATTGACCGTCCACCTGTTCCATCATGTTTTGTTATATCTCCTCCCTAAAAAGAAAAAAAAAAAACCAGACAGCATTAACTGAAAAGCCCCAAAACATAATCCAAAAATTATATATTTCCTTTCAAGAGTAAAGGCTTTGTTTTGGAAGAACTCATTTTTCATTTTCACAAGTATCAACATCTGCTTACAAGTTTAGCTTCCCAGCTTTAGCAGGTTTGTTAATGGTAAGGGAAGCAGTGGTAGAAGATTTATCACTTATTTATTCTAAACATGGCATTTTATCTTCCTGCTCCCCACAGTGACATTCCTCTAGGCCTGCCTTTCCTACTGCCTGCATTGCTTGGCCCTGGAAGCTGCCTGGACCTGCATTATCTCATTGAAGGCCTGTCCTTGTTTAGTCCCTGGAGGCACAGAATTAATCCCCTGAAAAAGGTTAATGTAGCAGTGACTCGTAATTCCAGACAGCTTTGCCTCATAACTGGTTGAGCAGCATGGTGTGTCTTTTATCTTCCTGGAAGGTAGCAAACTTCTGGTTCCTGATAATTTGAATATGCACATAAATGTGACTGTGTAAATTGTATCTGTACAGCCTTAGTTCTCATTGAAGAGCTTCTCACTGTACCTCAAGAAAGTCCAGGCAAAGCAGAGCAAACTTAAAATATACTCATGTAATACGACAAAAGATCACTTTGTCAAGGCACACATGGTGCAGTTAACTGTTTTAAAAGAAAGTCTGCCCCTTTATAGAATGTGGAATACCCTGAAATAAGCTTAAATCCTAAATGAGTTTATCAGAAAGGCACAAAGGTTTAACAAAAGAGCCATCAAGTACTTCAGACACACAAAGACAGATAATCAAAAGACAGGCTAATATTTTATTCTGATGACAACAAACCATCCATATACTATCACAGAGTGGTTTATGTTGGAAAAGACCTTTAAGATCATCTAGTTCCAGCTCCCCTGCCATGGGCAGGGACACCTAGAACTAGGATCAGGCTGCTCAGAGCTCCATCTAACACAGACAGGGATAGGGCATTTACAATTTGTCTAGGCAACTACTTGCAGTGTCTCACCACCCTCACAGCAAACAACTTTCTCCTAATATCTAGTTCTAAACCTTCTTTTACCTAGAAGCCATTCCCCCCATGTCCTGTGACTACATGCTCTTGTAAAATGTTTCCTATCATCTTTCTTGTAGGCTCCCTTCCAGGCTCTGGAATGACACCATTATGTCACCCCTAAGCTTTCCCTTTTCCAGGATAAACAAATTCAATATTTTTAGCCTTTCCTCAAAGGGTCAGTGCTTCATCCTTCTTAAAAGTCTTGGTCCTCCTCTGGACTTGCTCCAACAGGTTGATGTCCTTCCTATCACTTTTGTGTCTTATGTTCCTATATTACTGTATACAGCTGGGCTTGTAGAAAGTCATCTACATGCCTCTTTGGGGATGTAGTGACACGCAGATCATTAACATAGCATGTAGTGATGTTGGTTCATTTTGACTGTTCCAAGATACTAAAACTCGATTAACTACCCATGAGAATTTTAAGAAAGGTCTAGTTGAGCTATGATCAATCTCCTAAGCCTTCACCAGTTATGAATAACCTGACAGTGCTACTGAATGCATACAAAGGTTTAAAACCAACACTGTCTGTCTGGGATTACAAAATGTATTGCAGGCTGATGCTTTCAGCATAAAACTTGATATTTTAGGCAACAGGCCACTACATGGTAATTGGATCTAGAAGACTTGTTTTAGATTGAAACCTAATATCTGTGATACTTGGAATATCAGTTTTAAAGTGCACATTATCTAAAATACGAAGTGTACTTTTAAAGTCCAATAGAAGCCTGGAAAGTAAAGTGTTCTTAACAGGTGAGCATACAGAAAGTTCCTCTCTGGAGAAAGAGAAGGATGAATGGTAGTTTTGGGAACACCTACTTTCCTTGGTGATCCTGTTCAGCAACAGGCCCCTTGTCTATTTTAAGAGGACTCCCTCCATTTTTTCCCTGCACCCTGACATGATAGTACTAGGAAGCACTGAAGCATTGGGTCACTGGCAGGCACAGGTGAAAAGCATCTTAGGGTATCATGTACTGCTTGCATCATTTCTCATTGCCTTGTAATGAAAGGACAGATGAGAATATCCTGCACACTGGATCCATGCTGCCAACAAGAATGTGCTACTCTGTATAAGTCATTTTATATAGTGCCACTGTTAGTCAAGAAGAATCTCATTCTCTCAGTGAAGAGTTTTTTTATGCTTACCTGACACACAAAGTCTGTGACTATTCTGTGAAAGCGGGAGTTCTTGAATCCAAATCCTTTCTCTCCTGTGCACAGGGCTCTGAAGTTTTCAGCAGTTCGAGGTACAATATTTGCAAACAGCTCCATGGTTATGTGTCCTAAAGGCTCACCATCAGCAGAAACTTCAAAATACACAACAGGGTTGGTGTCCTTTGACAGTCCTGCTGCCAGAGACAAGTGCCCCTTCTGTAGTTCTGACAAGCTTAGCTGGCATTCTTCAAACATCTTCTTGAAAGAATTGGCCATTTCTTGGCTTTTAAATCTGACTGCAAATTGCTCTACTTTTACTTCACCATCTGAAAATAAATCCAAGAAGGTCTGTTTAGCTTCATCTTTTAATAAGCTCCAGGGGAAAACAAAACACAGAAACTACCTAGAAAAAACAAAGACCACCTGAAAAAACTCACCAGCATAATCTGTGGCTGTCCAAATGAAAGCATTGTTTGATGTATCAGAGGGCACTAAGTTCATTTCTTTGGTGATAACATGGTTTGCACAGACTTTAAGAACTTGGTCTCTTCTCATTAGGACTCTATAGTATTTCTTTTGTGTATGGAAGAGTATTTTGATCTCTCCAACACCACGCTCCTTCCACTGAGTAACATCCCTGTCCCATCTGTAAAGTTTTGCCCTCTCCTTGAAGAGAATTTCTTCATCTTCTTCTCCAGATTTTACCTCCACCTAAAAAAAAAAATTTAAGAGCCCAATAAATTCTACGATTTGAGACCAATTACAACTCTGCAAGCCTCCTTCACCACAGTACATAGTTCTGGTGGGTGTCTGTTGGTTTTGCTTTGGGAGTGGGTTGGTTGGCTGGGTTTTTCTTTATGTGTGGGGTTTTTTTTTTCCTTTAACAAAACCCCAATACTTTAATCAAGTGTTCCGGCAAGTTTCCCAAGTTTCAGTTTTGCTGAATGATATGCACACTGAAGTAAAGACAAAGCACAGTTATGATTCCAGAAGTTACCTTTAGAACATTGCTAAATAATTTGATTTGCATTTGAACAGAATAAACACTAAGTACACAAAACTTCAGCCTGACAGCCATATCTCCACCTCACTTTATGTATGCATTTACTGGCCTCTAATCTCATTTAGTTAGCACTTCTCCACAGATATGGAACACTTGAGAGAACTGAAGAAATATGTGACAAAATACTGTTTGTGAAACTGAAAAATGGAAGCAGAGAAGAAAAGCATCATAGAAGTCATAATGTGACACACAGATGAGCAAAGGCACACCAAATTTTAAAAAAGGAAGTTGAAGGCATGTTACAAAATAGATCAGATGAGCTGTTCAAATTGAAGGGCACTACATACTGTTAACTTTGTGCTCTATTTGCCTTGCTCAATAATTTTACTAATCTACAGTTAAACTTTATTATTTATAGAAAGGTCAAGCAATATGACTATATATCAAAAGAGTCTGAAATGATTACTAGGCTGAAAACCAAATCAAGACATGAGTAACTGTGGGAAGTCTCAGTAAGTTATAAGGCTACCTTCAAAGCTGAAGGTTCTCCTACTTCTGGAAAAACATTTATTTTGAAATTAAGTTAGTTCCCTTAGCCATCAGGTAATGTTAATTGTACATCTTCTTGCTCAGTGATTCTAGAAATCTTGCCTAGCTTAGAGAAAAAATTCTTAGTTGGCATGGCTTTCACAGAACTGAATCTACAAGTCACTGATACAAAGCCATAGCTGAGTTGTATAAGCACTAGCAGTTATTCAGTTCCCCTTCCTGATTTTCAGCTATGCTATATAAATGGTTTAGCTTTTACATGCTGGGCATAAAAATTTGCATCCTGATCCAACTCTCAGTCAAGTTATAAAGAAATCAGTGTTGAAGATTTTAACTGAGGCACCAGACACCTCCCCAGGGCTACACTGTACTAGGATTTAAATCAACAGGTGCTTCAAAACAAAGTGTAAAACATGCAGAACTCCGCACAACAACACAAAAGCAAAGTCAACTAAGCAAAACATATTTTAAAGCTTGCTGCATTAGCAAAAACACTCATCTTAATGTTGTTTTATATTCCAGAAGTCACCGTACCTCTGGTAAG